GACTCCGCAGCAGCAGGAAGGCTCCACACTCCAGACCGCAGTCGGACGGCCAACTCCTCCTCCTAGCCCCCCTGCTCCAGCAGGTCGCAGAGAACGGGGGTGAGAGAAGACTCCAAACCTCCCTCCACCCGCTCATTGTAGTGTTGATGCATGTGTGTTCTAAGGTGCATTTAAAACCCAGGAGGGCTTGGAGCTACCTGCCAGAGAGCAGCAGGTAAGCACATGGTCCCTCCTGCTAGCCCTCAATGTCTATGTGTATTTAAAATTGAGAGGTGGGCAACGATGCCAGGGGTGAGGTGTACACCCTGATGGTACTTTGGACTCCGTGTATCGTGCCCACCCCCAAGATCCTATATGTATGTGTAATGAGAGTGTGAGTAATGTGAATGTCTAAGTTGTGGGATAAAATTGAGGCAGAGGCAGCCAGAAGGGGACAGGGGGGGGGGGGGGGGGGGGGGTAGCCTCCTCTGCACCCTGGTGACATACCCCTACTCCAAGGCCCTGCATGTGTGGGTGGTTGTGGTGGAGCGGGAAGAGGGAGGCAGCTGGAGATGGGGAGGGAAGGAAGGGAGGGGCAAGTGACCCCTCCCTGGGGCCAGCTCCCCCGCTGACCCCAGTAGGCACCCCCACACTCCGCGACCCGCCAGGGAAAGGGGGCCCAGGCCCATCCAGACCAGGGCCCAGTGCAGCAGCGCCGCCCGGCCCCACAGAGCCCGGGACAGTCCACCCAACCCCACCACAGAGAAAACTGCACCCACCCCACCATCCACTCATCTTCCAGACTACATAAGACAATAAACACCCAGGCTGAGATCTTCCTCCACCTCTCCTTTATCTCCCCCTCCTGCAGAGGGAGCTCCTGAGGAGAGGAAAGCTCCTGCAAGATGTGACAATCTCCCCCACCAGTTGAAGAGCCCCCCAGGTGGCTCGATGCACCGGTGGCACCCTGCTCCAGGGCTGGGCCCCCATGCACCCACCGCCCACAACTCCGGCAACACACCAAAAAAAAAAAAAAAAAAAAAAAAAAAAATAGGGAAGGAGAGCTGCCTGACTGTTGAATGTGGTGTAGCTTGTTGCTCACAAGGGGCTAACTGATTACTGGGCTTCTCTCTCTAATGCTATAGGGTCTTTATCTTACGATATAAAACACCTTGAGCTCACTGTTGTTGTGATCTCATGCTGAAGGCACTCCAATCATGTAGTCAGGAAAACAATATCATCAACAAAGGTATAGAGTATAGATCCACAGTTTTGCTAAACCAGACAGACTATCATGAAAACATTTTGTCACTGCTTAGCGACAAAATACTTATAAGCACCTGAAACAACATCCAAGTTGTAGATACAGGAAGAGGGCGATAGATTGAAGCAGTTAGAACAGGACAACACTATTGACTAGAGATGGACCGATCCGATATTACGTATCGGTATCGGTCCGATACTGACGTAAATTACTGGATCGGATATCGGAGAGAATTAAAAAATGTAATCCGATCCATTAAATATCAAAAAAGCACCTCACAAAACTTGCGACATGGCGTAACTCTGCTCATAACCATAGCATGTGGTCACGTGATAGAGGGCTGTGTGTAGCCTCCTACCAAACCAGCATTTCATCTCCGAGGAAGTTATCCCAGAGAGAAGTAAGGCAAGTGTGTAAGTTCATCTCTGAGTGTTCCCACGTATTCCCACGTTAAGCTTAACAACCGATATATGGAGCGACTGCCTCCCCCTCCGTCTCCTGCTGCTACTTCTATCATGAAACTGATCAATGATCAGCTGATTGGCTTTTCTGTCGCAAGTCCGTTTTTCTTGTTTGTTTATGGCCCACTTTGCGCCAGAAAGAGGAAACCAGCGGCTGAACAACAGCAGCACGTTTAAGCTTAATATAACTCATAACTTTTGCACTGTCCACTTCCTGCTGTGACAAAACAAATTTCCCACGTGTGGGACTAATAAAGGTTATCTTATCTTATCTTAATAAGCTGTTGTTAGAATTTATTTAATATTACTTTCTACACCAGGATCTTTTTCTATGTAGCTGACAGCTGGTAACTGTGCAGGGGCAGATCTAGCAAAGTTTAGCCGGGGGGGGATAGGGCATAAACAGGGAAAAGGGGGCACAAAGACATACTTTTCTTTCTTATTCTCATTTAAAATATCTAGCTTTTAATAAATAATTATCTGAATCTTACACCCAGAGTTTTAATCTGATGTAAAATGTATAGAAGTCCATTACTGTATATAGTAACTATTAAGTCTAATATACCCTAGTAAGCTATAGTGCTTTTTCCTTTGGGAAGATACTATCTGTGCAGTCTGCAATTCTCTTGAAGAAAGATGTTAAATCTATTTAATTATTCTTGAAAAATAATTTATTTCTGGGCATTTTTTTTCACACTGCATCAAATTAAAGTTGATTACGTCGATTAAGCATCATGAGGTGGAGGGTGGTTCCCTATTCTTTATTTTTTTATTTTTTGCTGGGAATTTGCAACTCTATTAGTTAGGTTGCTTACTCTTTAAAATACCAGAATAGGGAGGATGGAGTGAGCTCTCTCCACTGAGAGATCACATCACAGCTCTCCTTCATCCTGGGGCAGAACTAGTTTCCTATACCTGAGAGACTCTCCTGGTGTGAATGCTTTCCCCACTTCCTGAGTTACAATCTGTTTAACTGCTTGAATAGGGTGGTGTGAAGCAGCCACCCATGTGGGCTTTATATGGTAAAATAATGTGACCAGTATCAGAATAAGAAACAAGTTCACACTGTGCATCCTCACTTGGCTATTCCCTCACCCTCTTTTGTTCGTGTCCAATCATCTTTGCTTACTGAGAAGAATGAGGATCTAATGCACAGTAAAGAAATTGCCTAAATGTTATAAAAAATGTGCACAAGTAATTTGTCAGTCAGTTTTAATCAGGGTCCGGGCTCCTTGTGTCTGTGGTGTTTAAAGAGTCATAATTCCATCGCCGATCTCTCCTCCGTTCCAACACTGCTGTAGGTTGAAAGGGGCAGACCACGTCATACACCCCTGTTGTCTTCATCGCAGAATCTCTTCCACCTTTTTTGGATTTTACTGTTTTTCAAAAATCTCCTCATGAGTGAGATTTACCAAAGATCTACCAAAGAGATTCTCTGTTCTGCATAGGCCTGAACCCCCTCAGTGAGATCATTAACAAGACTGGCTACAGATACCAACTACGGAATGGAGCAGTTCTCAGCCACCTCCTGTACATGTATGACATCAAGCTGTATGCCAAGAGTGAACGAGACATTGATTCACTGATCCACACCATGCACCAGGATATACAGCAATAACATTTGAATGCCGTTCAGACTGCAGAAATTAAGTCGGATGATAACAAAAAGAGGGAAGGTAGTCAGAACTGAGGGGATCGAACTACCAGAAGGCAACAATACAGACATAGAGGACAGCTACAAGTACCTCTGGATCCCACAGGCAAATGGGAACCATGAAGAGGTCGCTAGAAAAGCTGCAACCACCAAGTACCTGCAGAGGGTCAGGCAAGTCCTGAGAAGTTAGCTGAACGGTAACACCTACCCGTGATCAGATACCCTGCCGAGATAATACGCTGGCCAAAGGAGGAGATAGAAGCCACGGACATCAAGACAAGGAAACTCCTGACCATGCATGGGGGGTTTCACCCCAAGTCCAGCACCCTGAGGCTGTACGCTAAGCAGAAGGAAGAAGGCTGGGGACTGGTGAGTGTCAGCACCACGGTCCAGGAGAGACAACAAACATCCACAAATACATCAGTAAGATGGCCCCAACTGACCCCGTGCTCAGTGAACACCTCAGGCAGCAGAAACCCAAGAAAGAGGAGAAAGATGAGGAACCATTGTGGAAGGACAGGCCCCTACATGGTATGTACCACCGGCAGACAGCAGAAGTGACTGATATCCAAAAGTCCTACCAGTGGCTGGACAAAGCTGGACTGAAAGACAGCACAGAGGCACTAATCATGGCAGCACAGGAACAAGCTTTGTGCACAAGATCCATAGAGGCTGGGGTCTATCACACAGAGTAAGACCCCAGGTGCAGGTTGTGGAAAGGGTGCAGGGCGTAAGATGCTAGCAGGCAGGGCATACATGGAACGCCGTAATCAAGTGGCCAGCATAGTGTACAGGAACATCCGTGCCGAATACGGCCTGGAAGTCCCAAGGTCAAAATGGGAGACGCCCCTTAGGGTGGTGGAGAATGACCGAGCTAAGATCCTGTGGGACTTCCAGATACAGACGGACAAAATGGTGGTGGCTAACCAACCAGACATAGTGGTGGTAGGCGAAAAGAACCAGACGGCCATAGTGATCCATGTAGCAGTCCTGAATGACAGCAACATCAGGAAGAAGGAACACGAGAAGCTTGAGAAATACCAAGGGCTCAGAGAAGATCTCGAGAAAATACTACTAAAACGGTTTGAGTCCGAGGGAGTAGTTAAATATTCCTCTCTAAATTCTACTTTGTTGTGAGTTTGTGTTTTAAGAAAAATTAATTGGAGTATTGGCTGCAGTGACTCCCAAACTAGGCGGGTCGCTCCAGCAGATCCCAGAAACAACTTTGGAGCTCTCTGTCTTTGGAGCTCTGTTCATGTAAAATCCTAACTCTGTTAGGATTTTACATGAACATTGATCTTCAGATGTGAACTTACAAAGCAACATTTCTCTTTTTTGATGCATAGTACTGTTTTCAATAGTTAGGCAGGCTCATTTAACAATAATCAACACATCATTGTATTCCCTCGTGACCATGTCATGGATCAACAGTAACACCTCTTTTTTCCTGTGGTTTTCTTCACAGATTGATGATGTGTCTCAGAGTTCAGCAGCTCAGCTTTACTGAAATGTTATGAAACTTAAAGAGAAAGTAAATCGAGGCAGAAGCTGATCATCGATCAGAGCTAACTGTCTGTGATTCTGCACTCAGTTCAAGTGGAGACAACAAGCTGAGTAAAAGTGCAACAGGTAAACACTGAGGATGGCACAGGTGACGATCAGAACAAAGAGCAGACAGGGAGACTTCTACCTGGACATGGATCACCTGCTGATGCTGATGCTGCAGCTGCTGCTGCTGCTGCGGAGCTCAGGTAGGACTCTGACACACACATGAAAAGTAAAAAGGTTCAGATCCTTCAGAAAATTTAGGACAGATTTTATTCTTTTCACAGTTATGTATCCTGATATTCCTGCAGTGTCACATGGGTTCAAATTCAGTGATGATAATTCAGACTCACTTTGCTTTTACTCATGAAAAATGTAGGAGTGACGCAGGCTGTAATCCATTTTTAAAGGAAACTGTTAAATACCCCCAATTATTTCATCTTTGGGCTGAAGGAAGAACAACACTCTGTGTTTAACGCTCAATCAACAATAACTTTAATCAATACAATTCTCTTAATTCCATACAACCACTTTGAGCATTACAAACGTCCGGAAGGGAGATGTGCACAGGAAAATCTCAAAATGTCTGAGTTACCCACACTCTTATAGCTTCTCCCCCCTTCATACTAAGCATTCACATTTTTTCTCTCTCAGTGAGCCTAAGTTATGATCTTGGCTTCCTGTGCAGTATGTTTCAGACAAATAAGACCATGATTCTCTGAAAACAAAATTTCTTATAAATCAGCAGTATAATGCATCATAAAACAGTGTAATATCCCATTCCTGTTTTTTGTCAGAATAAACAATCAATTACAATCAAACAATCAATCAATTTGCTGGTCCCTCTCTAGTCTAAACAACGTTTCAGTAACTTTCCACCAGAAGATGGTCCCCTGTTATCTACTTTCTCCCAGGCAAGCATGAGCAAGAGTCTACAGCTCTCTACCCACCAAGGATACATAGTCTAACGCCTTTATTTTCAGGGCCGTGTCCACTTAATACTACATTACATGGTTATATGGCTTTTTAGTTAATATAAAGCATAGAATTGAGGCACTTCAAATAATTCCATTCTGAAAAAACTAATCTCATCTCTCTCTAAAGCCCACACTGAACAACCAGCTGAACACACCTAAAGGCTGTTTCCACCAGCTGGAATGAACTTTAGCCCACTGCAAAAAAAACTTATAGACTGCTCTGTAATGACTGCATCAGCTGCTTGTGAACAGAACAAAATCAAACAGAACAAACATTTGCTGTTATACTATTAGGAACATGTTCCTGAAAATGCTTGTCTTCTGAACTCTTTCATTTCACAGACTTTTAGTTTTTCTGACCAATCAAATTATTTTTAGACAATCTTGTCCTGGTTTGGTATCAAATATGTTCCTTCACACAAATGAAGAGAATAAAAGTTGGTTTTGAAACAGGTTTTAGAAATGTCTAATTTTGGGGAGGTCATGAGAGTTTAGGAGCAGCAACAGCAAAGGCCTGATTTCCTTTGTGGATCCTGGGACAGCTAGGAGCATTTGGTCCACAGACCTCGATGATCTTGAAAGAGTGTACAAAATCAACTGGTCAGAAAGGTACAACACACAAACTTCAAAGGAGGAGCAGTTTACAATGTTTTGTCTTGAAGCCACAAAAGAGACTGGTTTAACCCTCCTGCATACTGTGATTGTGACATGGATGGAACATTTCTAGTCTAACTTTATTCCTCACCATCTGCCTTACTCCCAGAAGTGACAGAAACCACTGATCTGTCCATATGTGTGGATGGTTATATAAAATCTCAGGATATGAAAATCAAAGAACAGAAACATCTTTGACCTCATGTACTGAGACTGTCTGCATTACAGTTCATATATTAGTTGTAGCAAATCATCATTAAAACGAACCATGAATTCTAAGTTGTCATTTCAAATTTTGAGTTAGATTTATATATAGACATATATATAGATTTGTATCAGTTAGATATAACTGAATGAATTTTAGTATATCTATTAACTTTTTTCAACATCTGTAGTCCCATAAATTTACTAAAATGTAACTCTCTACTGTCCTCATCTCACCTCCAATCAAATTCCATCTTCACACTTACAGTTTTTACTCTTTTTTTCTCTTCAGGAGTCCAGGTTGGGGCAAAACACAGTTCTACAGGTAAAAGGAGAAATCAGAGAGAAATTAAGGATCACACAACCAGAATCAGCACTAACATTAAATATTTCCAGAAGTAAATTCATTTTTTACTGACGACTCTCTCCTTTCTGTTAGAGCCTGGTGATGTCAGGCTGGTGGGAGGAGCCAGTCACTGTGCAGGAACACTGGAGGCAAAACATCTGGGAGAGTGGAGACCATTGTGTGCCTCTCATGATTCCTGGACACTGAAAGAAGCAGCTGTTTTCTGTGAATACCTGGACTGTGGCTCTGCTGTTCATGTAGAAGAAAGACATTCCTCATATAAATCTGCGTGGTCTATCAGTTCTGATTGTGTTCTGTCCAGATCTCCTCTGAGGGAATGTACAACATCAGATTACACTGACCAAATCCTGAAACTGACCTGTGCAGGTACAGTGGAGGCAAAGAGCCCCCCACTGTTGGGTGCTGTGGCCGGCCAGGGCCTCTGGGGTCTTTTCCTGTCAGCCTCTGGCTCTTGGGTTCATTGTTGCAATGTCTCACCCTAATTTTGTAGTATGCTTCATGACAGAAACTCATATACAGCCACATTTCTCTTTCTCACTTTCTCTCTCTGTCACTCACTTGTACAGACAAACAAATAGCAACATTTTATCTTTATTTAGGTACTTTCCTTTGTCTTGTCTTTCAGCTGTTGTATATGGTTTTCCAGTGTTTTGTTACAGATGAAGACCCAACATGTTTTTTTCCTGACTACTTAATGGAGTCAGCAGCACTCAGTTTACAGATTCCACAAGACAGGGGCAATACTACATATCAACAAAAGAGAATCCCAGTAGGCTACGGCTTTAATAACCGCTGAGGAGATGAAATATAAACATGATGCTAACATATCTCCTGTTATAAAGATGTGTTCTGTTGTTAATGATGAAGTCATGTTGAGTTGTGCTGAGGTTGAGTCAGTGAATAGTTGTTTGCTGCCATCTTTTTCTTGTGTGTCTGCTGTCTCTGATCTCTCTGTTTGATCTTCTCTGATGTCTCCAGACTCTGTCAGGCTGCTGAATGGTTCCAGTCTGTGTTCAGGCAGACTGGAGGTGAAGTCTGACCAGAGCTGGTCCTCAGTGTGTGAAGCTGACTTTGACCAGCAGGATGCAGAGGTGGTCTGTAGGGAGCTTCGCTGTGGGCCTCCTTCAGTCCTCCAGGGGGTGCTGTATGGAGAAGTGGAGGCTCCAGTGTGGAGCAAAGTGCTCCACTGTGGAGGCCATGAGTCTGCTCTCCTGGACTGTAGAAGCTCAGGCTCAGCTAGAAACAGCTGCTCACCTGGCAAAGCTGTTGGACTCACCTGCTCAGGTAGAAGAGGAGCTGCAGCTTTTTGTGGTTCAAACTCACTTTATTCTTTTACTGATGACTCTCTGCTTTCTGTTCAGAGAGTGATTTCAGGTTGGTGGGAGGAGCCAGTCGCTGTACAGGTATACTGGAAGCGCCAAATCTGAGAGAGTGGAGACCTGTGTATAGCTCTGACTGGAGCTTGAAAGAAACAGCTGTTGTGTGCATACATCTGGACTGTGGCTCAGCTTTTTCTGTTAAAAAGAGCCACAATTTCTCATGGAGATCTAGATGGAAGATTAGTTCTGATTGTCTTCAGCCAGGATCTCCTCTGAGGGATTGTGCAACATCGGCATACACTGATCAAATCCTGAATCTCACCTGCTCAGGTAATCATACTGATTAAGTTATCCATGACTTCATATATGACAGAGATGTACCAAACTGTGACAGATGGCAGCAACAATAGCAGCAGACCGTCTCCATCAGTCACAACATGGCTGAGATGCGGAAACCCTCTAAACCAACCTCCAACCAGCCTGAAAGGACTCCTTCAGCCTAACAGCTTTCCAAGTTGCTGCTTTCAGCAGGTGTTTATAGAGAAGTACAAACACAAAGGCTGGAGGAAGTGAAATTAGTTAACAGGGCGCCAGGCGGAGTGTTTGCCCAGGGTGCCAAACAGGCTAGGACCGCCACTGCTTGCATATGCTCATTTGTGTCGTGTCTCGTTTCTGAGGCTATGTCACTAGAGTGGCATGTTTACATTTGCTAGCATATATCCAAATCCCACACTAATTTCATTACCAGATCATCTGTCGGTCTGAATATCTTCATCATCCCACTACATGTCTCTGTCCTCTCTTTTCTATCCTTTACCTTCAGAAAGGTTTACAGCAGTCTTCTGAACAAACCACCAACCTTTCTAAAAGGGCTCGTTATTCAGTATCCTTCTGCTGTGTTCCAAAAGCAGCTTCTTTACTTGGCATCATGATAGAAACTAACAAACTTGTTACACACAAAAAGATTCTAGGTCTGACCAACCATCTCAGCCGTGGGCAAAAAGATGACAGTCAATGAAATTCTAAAATAAATTTTTAACACAATGATCAAAAAGAAGATACAGCCCAGTGTACCATTTGCATATAAAGTAAAAACACAGTCCAAGGCAAGAGCCAGCTATGCCACAAAGCTCTCCACACCTTGTTAACTTCAACAGGGTTAGCATTTGTCTTCTGAGACCCACCACCCTGTAAGTAGATAGCCAGTGATCACTCCGGCCTCTGCAACACAGCTGCCTTAAGGCTGTGGCATATAGTAGGACCTGGCCTGCACAGAGAGAGAAAATAACACGGTTCACTATATAATTCACAGCACACAACCCATCCATCCCAAACATATCGTGTCATCAGAGGTGTTTGTAGTTTGGGCTATAAGTAGACTACCGTATCAGTGCAATCAATTATACCTGCCTCCAATTAGTCCAACCCCATTACAGCCATTGGCTCACCGCAAATGTGACGCACACAACCACTCCCAACCCAGTGCAACTTAACGCAATAATATGGAGATGAATTAAAACAGGAACATTAGTCTACCCAGTTATAAACTACTGTCCACATATTTGAATAGATCACTTAAACCAGGGCTTATCAGTATGATCAAAGTCACAAAGTAAAATCTCAATCTTTGGTTGTTAGATTCCCTGCCCTGTGGCCTTTCTGCAGCTCTCCCAGGAAAGCAAATACACCTAAACTCGGTCCTCTCTTTGGCCACTGAAAAAACACTGAAGACCATTAAAAGGTCCTGTGGATGTGGGATATAACAATAAAACTGTCTAAGAGAACAAGAAAACAGGAGAGACATTTGGAAATAAAAACCATCAAAAGAACACACTGATAGACTACACACTATTTCACACTACATAAACACTATATCATCACCAAGAGCAAATTAAAAAGAATAAAAAGTAATATGTTGACTAATTTTTCTTCCTGGCCATGTCCAGTCCCTGTGTCAGGTACCAAAGCTGACTTTTGAGTTGAATCAGCTGCACTCATTTTACTGGTTTCACTAAAGAAAGGGACAATAATACACACCCACAAAGAAGTTATTGCAGCTAGGGCTGCAATAACAGCTGTCAGATTATGAAATGTAAATGTGATGGTAACAAGTCTCCAGTGTGTACCAATGTAAAGATGTGTTCTGTTGTTAATGATGAAGTCATGTTGGAGTTGTGCTGAGTTTGAGTCAGTGAATAGTTGTTTGCTGCCATCTTTTTTTTGTGTGTCTGCTGTCTCTGATCTCTCTGTTTGATCTTCTCTGATGTCTCCAGACTCTGTCAGGCTGCTGAATGGTTCCAGTCTGTGTTCAGGCAGACTGGAGGTGAAGTCTAACCAGAGCTGGTCCTCAGTGTGTGAAGCTGACTTTGACCAGCAGGATGCAGAGGTGGTCTGTAGGCAGCTTGGCTGTGGGCCTCCTTCGGTCCTCCAGGGGGCGCTCTATGGAGAAGTGGAGGCTCCAGTGTGGAGCAAAGAGTTCCAGTGTGGAGGCCATGAGTCTGCTCTCCTGGACTGTAGAAGCTCAGGCTCAGCTAGAAACAGCTGCTCACCTGGCAAAGCTGTTGGACTCACCTGCTCAGGTAGAAGAGGAGCTGCTGCTTTGATCTGGCTCAAACTCACTTTATTTGTTTATTGATGACTCTCTGCTTTCTGTTCAGAGTCTGATGATGTCAGGCTGGTAGGAGGACCCAGTCGCTGTGCAGGAACTCTTGAGGCAAAAAATCTGGGAGAGTGGAGACCAGGCTTTCTCTCGACCCTGAAAGAAGCAGCTCTTGTTTGCCAATATCTGGACTGTGGCTCAGCTGTTTCTATACAAACAGCACACTCCTCATTTAAATTTGTGTGGTCGATTCTTTCTGACTGTTTTCCGCTGAGGGATTGTACAACATCAGATTACATGAATAAAATCCTGAATCTCACCTGCTCAGGTAATCATATTGATGAAGTTATCAATGACTTCATATATGACAGAGATGTACCAAGCTGTGACAGATAGCAGCAAGAATAGCAGCAGACTCTCCATCAGTCACAACATGGGTTTCAGGAATCCTCTAAACCATCCTCCAACCAGCTTGAAAGGACTCCTTCAGCCTAACAGCCTTCCAAGGTGTTTATAAAGAAGTACAAAAATAAAGGCTGGAGGAATAAAAATAATCCTAGGTTTCTCTTCAACACTGTAGCCACACTAACAAAAAGTCAGAGCTCTGTTGAACCAACCATTTTTTAAACCTTAACTAGTAATGAATTCGCTCTCGCATTTGTTTTTTATCCTGCACTGTAAATAAACGCTCACTGATATCATCAGCCTTTGCTCGCATGGGGCAATCGTGGCTCAAGAGTTGGCAGTCTCGGTCGTTGTGTCCTTGGGCAAGACACTTCACAAGTTGCCTACTGGTGGTGGTCAGAGGGCCCGGTGGCGCCAGTGTCCGGCAGCCTCGCCTCTGTCAGTGCACCCCAGGGCAGCTGTGGCTACAATGTAGCTTGCCATCACCTGTGTGTGAATGTGTGTGTGAATGACTGTATGTAGTGTAAAGTGCTTTGGGGTCCATAGGAACTAAGTAAAGCGCTATACAAATACAGGCCATTTACCATTTTGGCTCCTCCTTCACTAACACCTCACGACCTGCTCCGTAAACCATGACAAATCATTTATGTACCACAGGCCTTCAAGCTGGCAGTTGTTAAACCATTACTTTAAAAGTATGGCATTATTTTTGTGCCACTATTCTGAGCGCACATAAAATAAATTTGCAGGTGCACGTGTTACATTTTGAGGAGAAATTTATTTTGAGTGAAGAAAAGCTAAATTTGAGTGAAAAAAAAATCATTGCTACATGCAAAACATGTATTTTAGTGTTTGCTATTATCCATACACACTAGAGTTGGATGTCTTGAGACCAGTCTTGGTCTCGAGAACACTTTTACGTGGTCTTGGTCTCGTCTTGGTCTCGATGGACGTTGGTCTCGGTCTTGTCTTGGTCTCGCTCTCTCGGTCTTGCGTTCTCAAATCGACGTAGTGTTCGGGAGATTTGGAGTCAACAACCATGGTTGTTTCTTATGTTTCTTGCATTTGCACATTTTGCTTGTACCAAGGATAAAATAGAATGAGTCAGCTTTCTGTGGTTGATAAAAGTTGGAAGTTAGATTCCCTGCCCCGAGGCCTTTCTGCAGCTCCCCCGGGAACGCAAATACACCTCCACTCGGTCCTCTCTTTGGCCACTGAAAACACACTGAAGACCATTAAAAGATCCTGTGGATGTGGAATATAACAATAAAAAGGTCAAAGTGAACAAGAAGACAGAAGGGACATTTGAAAATAAAACCATCAAAAGAACACATAAAAGTCAATACACTATGATCACCAAGGACAAATGAAAAAGCTTAAATATAAAAAGCTTAAAATATAAAATATTTTCTCTCTGGCCATGTCCTGGTACCAGAGCTGACTGTTTAGTGAAGTCAGTTGCACTCATTTTACTGGTTCCACAAGAAAAGGGAAAAAATAATCATCAATAATCACCCACAAAGGAAAATCCCAGTAGGCTAGGGCTGCAATAACAGATGTTGGATTACAAAGTGTAAATGTGATGCTAAAAGTCATATTGGAGTTGAGCTGAGGTTGAGTCAGTGAATAGTTGTTTGCTGCCATCTTTTTCTTGTGTGTCTGCTGTCTCTGATCTCTCTGTTTGATCTTCTCTGATGTCTCCAGACTCTGTCAGGCTGCTGAATGGTTCCAGTCTGTGTTCAGGCAGACTGGAGGTGAAGTCTAACCAGAGCTGGTCCTCAGTGTGTGAAGCTGACTTTGACCAGCAGGATGCAGAGGTGGTCTGTAGGGAGCTTCGCTGTGGGCCTCCTTCAGTCCTCCAGGGGGCGCTGTATGGAGAAGTGGAGGCTCCAGTGTGGAGCAAAGAGTTCCAGTGTGGAGGCCATGAGTCTGCTCTCCTGGACTGTAGAAGCTCAGGCTCAGCTAGAAACAGCTGCTCACCTGGCAAAGCTGTTGGACTCACCTGCTCAGGTAGAAGAGGAGCTGCAGCTTTGATCTGGTTCAAACTCACTTTATTTTTTTAATGATGACTCTTTGCTTTCTGTTCAGAGCCTGATTATTTCAGGTTAGTGGGAGGAGCCAGTCGCTGTACAGGTACACTGGAGTTTAAACATCTGGGGGAGTGGAGACCAGTGTATGGCTTTTTCTGGACCCTGAAAGAAGCAGCTGTTTCCTGTGAACAACTGGACTGTGGCTCAGCTGTTTATATAGAAATGGTAGACTCCTCACGCACAACTGGGTGGTTGATCAGTTCTGATTGTGTTCTGTCCAGATCTCCTCTGAGGGACTGTGCAACATCGCATTACACTGACCAAATCCTGAAACTCACCTGCTCAGGTAATCATACTGAGTCATCCGTGACTTCATATTTGACAAAGATGTACCAAGCTGTGACAGATGGCAGCAAGAATAGCAGCCAACCAACCAGCCAGAAAGGACTCCTTCAGCCTAACAGCTTAATAATAATAATAATAATCATAAATTTTATTTATGAGCGCCTTTCAAGTCACCCAAGGACACTTTACAATAGGATAAAACACTTAGTAAAACAATGGCAGAATAAGAACAATAAAACAAAAGCAGTGGATTCATAGTGAATATGCAGATTTGAACAGATGAGTTTTGAGTTGGGATTTAAACTTTCCAAGTTGCTGCTTTCAGCAGGTGTTTATGGAGAAGTACAAACAAAAAGGCTGGAGGAAGTGAAACTGGTTATTGTTATTGTAAAACAGAGAGCAAGACGGGAAGTGGGAAATGTTCCAGGAGAGGAGCTGGGCTGAGAGCAGGAACTAGAACAGAAGTCAGCACGGATCTATATGTTAATGAAGCACAATGAGCACACCTGTGCAGGTACATATCAGATATACATGCTCATTTAAGTTGTGTATAGTTTCTTAGGGTATATTCACTATAGTGGCATGTTTACATATGATAGCACCATCACGTTCTCATCCCAAAATGTAACATATGTGACAAATTGCTGGTATGTTACGCTTTTGGCCACCCAACCCATCTGTATGTGAGTTGTGTTTAGTTTCTGAGGTTATATCACTATAGTGGCATGTTTATGATTGCACATAATCAAATCTATACTAGTTTCATTAACAGATCATCTGTCTTTGCATTATAAATAGCATTTTGCTTCAAAAGTGTTGCATATGCGTATGATATGATCACACAAATGTAAACAAAGATTTACAAATGTGTACAATCATTTGTGTTGAACTTTTGAGGACTCACAAGTGCATGCTTTAATCCACACACAAATACAAAGCAAGCAGAGGTAGATTGGTCTTAAATAGAAGCCCCCGGTGCACCGTGTGACTAACTAACTAACTTTTCCCCACTCTGCGACACACCCACTGCGTCAAACCATGGGAACTGGTGATTCTTTCTGAGACATGTGAAGCTAAAGACACCAGAAACCACAGTCAATTGTCTCCCAGGGGCCAGAGCAGGCAACATTGAGCGAAATTAAAACTGCTGGCTATGGGTAAATGTAAATTCAGTAAAGTTCTTATTCACGTCGGCAGTAATGACACCCAGTTACGTCAATCAAACATCACTAAAATTGCCTTAAATTGCTGGCTGGCTGAGTGTCCAAAAACCAATGTGGGCTTTGTAAATAATTGGAAAACTTGCTGGAGAAAACCTGGTCTTCTTAGGAGAGCTGTCATCCATCCCACCTTGGGTGGAGCGGCTCTCATTTCTAGAAATCTGGCCAAATTTATTAAACCCCAAAAAACGTGACTATCCAGAGTTGGGACCAGGAAGCAGAGTTGCAGTCTTATACGCCTCTCTGCAGCTTCTCTCCTCCTGTTATCTCCAATCCCCTTAGAGACTGTGTCAGCTCCTAAACAAACAAAAAAAAAACCAAGCTAAAAATCAGCAAAAAAAAACAAACCCAAAAAAACAACTTAAACAGAAAAAAAATCCCAAAGACAGAAAAAAATAAAAGTCTCTGTTAGTACATGAAGTAACAATTGATCAACAAAATAGGTTTACTCTTCCTTACAGAAACCTGGTTGCAGCAGGATGCAAATGTTAGTTTAAATGAATTAACACCCCCAAGTCATACTAACTATCAGAATACTCGAAGCACAGGCCGAGGGGGCGGTGTGGCAGCAATCTTCCACACCAGCTTATTAATCAACCAAAGACCAAGACGGAGGTTTAATTCATTTGAAAGCCTGATGCTTACGTAAACCGGGGACATGTGTCCCTCTATCTTATATAAAGAGATCTATACTGCTGACCCCAAGTATAACATCTACAATATCTGAATCTAGGGCTTGTATCACAAATCTTAGACCTAGGCTCTTCCAGTTTAGAATTATCTCAGGCTTTCTCAGATTCATGCTCACTGATCTGCTAGGTTTGGGAAGGAGACTGGCAGTAGCAGTCTCTGTAAGAGTAAATAAGACCTCCAACCCACACAACACACAAGACCACAGATTTATGAAACAGAAAATTAGCTTTATGTAAATATTTTGTTAAGTTCCATTTGCCTTTTTATTAAAGCATGAATACCTTCAAGTGTAATAAATAACTCAAATATACCACAAAAATCATTTAAACCAGCGGTCCCCAACCTTCTTTGCGCCAAAGACCGGTTTAATGTCCGACAATATTTTCACGGAAAGGCCATTAAGGTGTCGCAGATAAATACAACAAAATTAAATAATACGACCAAGACAAAAACTATATTTTGTAAATATAATAATAAGTGTGAATTCACTGCGTAATTGTGTAACTTTATTAGCAGCGTCCTCCTGAAATGCGCCAACATCATTGAGAGTAACATCCACCTCTCTGCCCCTTAATGCTCTCTGGTCACTATGGCAACGCGTAAATATTTATTTCAAAACAAAACACAACTACAACACGGGAAAAGACAGAATTAACGATAAAACCCCTGAAAACCATAAATTTCACGTCCAATCCTCAGCTCTCGCGGCCCGGTACCAAACGACTCACGGACCACTATCAGTCCGTGGCCCGAAGGTTGGGGGCCGCTGATTTAAACAACCACAATGCATGTAAAATAAGAAAAAAATGAAATATTTCAAAACCCCCAACAAAAACCTTTCTTTGGATACAAATGTCTAAAACTACACATAATGTCTCTTTCACTTACAACATCTTACCTTTGTGTCGACAAAACGTGCAATACACACAGATCAGGTTGTATTCCCAAGTGGGGTTTTGAGACTAATTTAACCATCGCACAGATCCACAAATGTGAGGTGAATTCAAGTTGCAGTATAAACATCTAACCTTCTACATTAAACATGAGAATGTTTATTTTTTCAAGTAAACTGGAAATTAAACTAGGAAACATGATTTACTGTCATGGTCCTATCTTTGTGTGTAGCTTAATTAATATTATTTGATTTATTGTTATATGTGGTTCAGTTTCCTTGTTTTTCCTAGTGTTGTCATTTGTATTTCTAGTTCTCTTAGTTATTTTGTGGTTTATTTATAATTTCTAGTCTTTAGCTTTTGCTGCTGTGCCTCCCCTGTGTTCCACCTGTCATGTCTAGTCATCCAGTAAGTTGTGTTCTCATGTCTGTTCTTTCCCAGTCTGTGTCTGTGGCCCTTTCTCGTACTCGCGTTCTTGGTGAGTCCAGACTTGCCGAGAACGCGAGCACGGACTCGCGATTTGTACAGTTGGAACACCAGCGTACCCGAGGATGTCACAGGTCTGGAGTTTTTACTACTGTCCCCTCTTAAATTAACTTTAATTAATATGTTATGAAGCTTAACTTTAATCTCAGCCAAACTGATTTACTTAGGAACAAATAAAGCACTGAAATAAACCAAATTTGGAAATATATGATATCTTGATAAATCGAGCAGATATTTGAAGTTTACACAGCTACATTCTCGCTTGAAAATAACTTAAAAGTTTATTTTGTGACCCAGAAAGAGTAATATTTAAAAGTTTTTAGCTGCGCTTCTCCATCATTGCCGCGTTATTTAGGATATTTAGCTGTACCAAGTTCACACAAGTCACCACCAATGCATGCTCGATAAAACAGGCGGAAGGGGGAACACATCCGGGAATTTTTCACATTCTCGGCTTGATGCGTACTTTGAATTGGAACAGTACTTGGTCTCCAACTGATGACGTATCACGAGTGCATGAGAACACAAGTACGCATATTGAGTACCTGTGTCTTGGCTACAACTATAGCTTGCCTTCACCAGTGTATGAATGTGAGAGTGAATGAATAGTGGTATTGTAAAGCGCTTTGAGGGGTCCCGAAAAGCGCTATATAAATGCAATCCATTAGATCAGTTCCCGACCTCCCAGCCCATTGTTCCTTCAGTGGGCTGGTTTCAGTCATTATGCAAATGTACTGTTTATAAGATTGGGGAAACCTGCAGTCAGCTGAGACTGAAGAAGTCACTTGGATGAGTGAGAAAACGTTTCTCACTGAAAACGCTACGTCCAGATGAATTGAATCAACTTTTGGAGATTCCTAGTCTGTTCCTAGTTCTAGTTTCCAGGTTTCAGTTTCCAGTTTCGGGTTATGTTTTCTTGCATCTAATGTTTTTAATTTTTTTTGGTCACAACAAGTAAAAGCTGCCTCTTTGAGTTAAACCTTTCCTGAACTGAACCACACAGCGATACATGAGAGAACAAAACAACCCTAACTAAGAGAACTAGAAATGCAAATGACTACAGTATGAAAAACAGGGAAACTGAACCATGAATAACACTAAACGAAAGAACATTAATTAACCAGTAGCACAAACACTGGGTCAGATGCTGTAGCTGTACAATGATTCTATTATATTCTAAATAGTAGTCTACATACATGACTTTGTATTAATGTGTTGAATAAACACAGAAGAACACAGGAGTGTGTGGAATGAACTGATCTTCTCTGATGTCTCCAGACTCTGTCAGGCTGCTGAATGGTTCCAGTCTGTGTTCAGGCAGACTGGAGGTTAAGTCTAACCAGAGCTGGTCCTCAGTGTGTGAAGCTGACTTTGACCAGCAGGATGCAGAGGTGGTCTGTAGGGAGCTCGGCTGTGGGCCTCCTTCGGTCCTCCAGGGGGCGCTCTATGAAGAAGTGGAGGCTTCAGTGTGGAGCAAAGAGTTCCAGTGTGGAGGCCATGAGTCTGCTCTCCTGGACTGTAGAAGCTCAGGCTCAGCTAGAAACAGCTGCTCACCTGGCAAAGCTGTTGGACTCACCTGCTCAGGTAGAAGAGGAGCTGCTGCTTTGATGTAGTTCAAACTTACTTTATTCTTTGACTGATGGCTCTTTGCTTTCCATTAGAGCCTGTCAGGTTGGTGGGAGGAGCCAGTCACTGTGCAGGAACACTGGAGCTGAAATATCTGGGAGAGTGGAGACCAGTATATGACCTTCTCTGGTCCCTTAAGAAGGCAGTTTTACTCTGTTACCATCTAGACTGTGGCTCAGCTGTTTCTGTCACACAGAAGAAGGAGTCTACATGGAGATCTAAATGGAGTATCAGTCCTTACTGTGTTCAGCCAGGATGTCTTCTGAGAGAATGTGCAATATCGGATTACAATCACTTCATCCTGAATATCACTTGCTCAGGTAATCGTATTGATGAAATCATCCACAACTTCATATTTGATAGAAATGTACCAAGCTGCAAAAGATAGCAGCAGACTGTTTCCATCAGTCACACTCTGGCAGAGCTTCAGAAATCCTCTGCTTTTTTATGTCTGTCCATCTTCATCAGCCACTACATCTCTCTCACAAATCTTTCAGGATCCTTCTACTACATTTCAACAGCAGCTTCTTTAATTGTCATTATGAGGGGAACTAACAAACTAATGTCTACATATTTGAACAGATCACCTGGGCTTGTTTTTTTTTAGTATCATCAAAGTCACACAGCAGAGTCTAAGGCTACGTTCACACTGCAGGTCTTGATGCTCAATTCCGATTTTTTGATCAAATCCGATTTTTGTCTGCTTGTTCACACTACAAATAAAATGCGACAGCAAATGCGCTCTAGTGTGAACGCTCAAAGCGGCCCGCATGCACAAAAGAAGAGGTCACAAACAACGCGCTCTGTTTAGACCCAGACCCAACAGTACTGTTTGACTGATGGCCCTTAATATTGTGGCGTGTTGGGGGAACAGCTAGTTCTCTCCCATCGTGCCTTGGGACATGTGCTGCTGTTTAGATGTTCTTGTTTTATTGTTTATGGTTACACTACTTTTAACTGTTATCTTGAATGTTGTGTTTGTACTGCGGTTCAAAGTCACTTACAGTTATTGTTTTATAGAATGACTGCAACCATAAGTGAGTTCTGTTATGCTGTTAATGACCCACGAAGCACAGTGTAGCATCAGCAAGTGTTGTAATAAAGAGCTCCCCCTACCAGCTTGGGGTTGAATAACAAGCTCAATCTCTCTCTGTGAGCTTCCTTGTAAAGATTCCTCTGCATGCCACAATATAAAGACTTCAGACTTTACGTTTCCCAATTTTTTCTTTAAGTTATTTTGTTATTTACATAATGTACATAACCTAATAATTATCTTTATTGCTGTTTTAGAGGAGCGGTGCTTCAGAGGATTGTTGCAGATTTCTGTCAGAATCTGCAGTTGTCTTCTCAACAGTTTCACTAACATCTACACTTATTGACCAGGAAGTGTTCGCGATGTCTTCTCCGGAGCTGATAATTGGAGTCTGTTTTGTGTCAGTGACGTAAAAGACGATTTAATGCGACATGACTGTTCAAACAGCAGTCGTTTTCTAAAACATCAGATATGTATCGGATTTAGTACCACATTCGAAAGTGACCCAGATCGGATTTGAAAATATCGGATTTGTGCCGTTCACGCTGTCATAACATGATCAGATAGGGTCCAAAAACAAAAAACAAACCTGATTTGATGCACTCTCGCCTGCAGTGTGAATGTAGCCTTAGTGTAAGTTCTGTGGCTTCATAACATTTGGCAGTTGGAATCCCTGTCGCTTTCACTGTGGCTTTTGTGCAGATCTCCCATTTACGTTACTATGCTGCCACTATGTAACGGAGCGAAGGTGATTTTATTTCCACAGTGTTTTTTAAAGGAGGGAAATCTTCCTCCAAACGGACAGAGCAGTGGAGCCGCCAAGGGAAAGCACACAAATAAAAACTGTATAGTTAAAATATAATTTATTATATTTAAATAGTTAAAAATATAAAATGAATTAAAACAACCCTGGCCAGGGGACAACATGGTAAAAATCAATAAAACACAACATTAAAAGTCCAGTGGTGTCCGCCAACTGAGCATTTCAGTTTTGTCTGACACAGGAGTGGAGTCAATAATTAAATAAGGAGGTAGATCGGAGGAATAAGAGCTAGCAGAGAGAGACTGGTTTGCCAAAACCTCCTAGGGCAGGGGTCACCAACACGGTGCCCGCGGGCACCAGGTCGCCCGCAAGGACCACATGAGTCGCCCGCGGGCCTGTTCTAAAAATAGCTCACCATAACAACTTACCAGTAAGCTGCATCTATTTTTATTTTTTCTTGCTATTTTTTTTTAATCACAATTGCATTGGTGTTAATTTGTTAGAGATAATATATTAAAAAAATGTTTATTATTAAATATTAGATCATGATCTAATATTTAGTGCTAGCTGGTCTCCACGGAAACAGTTGCCGTGAAGACCAGCAAAGGCAAAGGTGAGGAGATGAGGAAAACATGGCGGAAAAAAGGAAGAAAACAATTTTCACAGTGAATGGGAGGAAGAGGTTTTTTTACCACTGTGAAAGATTCATGCGTGTGTCTCATTTGCGGGGCAACTTTTGCAACGGCAAAGCGGCACAACGTGGAGAGACATTTCCGAATGTGTCACACAAGCTACCATGCTAACTACCCAAAGGGCAGCACACTGCGAGCGGAAAAGGCCCGTGAATTAAAGGCAGGTTTGCGCAAACAGCAGTCTTTTTTCACGAGACCGGTGAAAAACTCTCAAAAAGCAACCGAAGCCTCATTTAGAGCTACACATTTCATGATTAAGAAAAAGAAGGCATTTTTAGACGGGGAGTATTTCAAAGAAGCAATGATGATAATTGCAAAAACTGTGCTTAAAGACGAGAAATATGGAAACGATGTAATCTCCACTCTCTCTGATGTCCAGCTGGGGGCAACTACAATTGTTAGAAGAGTGTCGGCTATGTCCGGGAACTTGGCCGATCAGTTGGATCAGGATCTGGCAAAGTGCAGTTGGTTTAGCATCCAGTGTGACGAGTCCGTCGACAGCAGCAGTACAGCACAGCTGGTGGTCTTTATCCGGATGGTATTTGATGGTTTCTCCACAAAAGAAGAACTTCTGACACTACTGCCGCTAAAGACAACAACGAAGGGAGTTGACATCTATAACGCGGTGAAGGAGTTTTTCGCGAAGAAAAAGGTACCGTTGGAAAAGCTGGTATCAGTGACTACCGACGGGGCTCCTGCTATGATCGGCCGACATACGGGATTCATCGCTCACTGTAAAGGTGACACAGAGTTCCCAAACTTCATGCATTACCACTGCATCATTCACCAGCAGGCGTTATGCCCAAATGTGATCGGCTTCGAGCACGTCATGACTCCCGTCGTGAAGATCATAAACAGCATCCGCTCCAGAGCTAAACAGCACAGAACATTCAAGGTGCTATTGGAGGAGCTGTCAGCTGAATATGTGTCACAGTCTGGCGAGGGCAGACTGTATGAATTGAAAAAAGGACCCAAAACGCAGACGCCAAGGAACAGAACTTGAAATGTTAACAAAAGGCGAGCCGTTTAATAAGGCTAGTAGAAGAGGTACAAACAAAGGGCAAGGCAAACTGAAGCAAAATTAACACAAACCTAAACTGGGGAATCTAAACAAGCAATAAGAAAAACCTAGGCAAGAAACTTGGAAGCATGGCATGGGAAACATGGCGTGGACAACAGACGACCTGACAATCACACACTGAAAACAGAGGACTTAAATACACAGGAGGTGATTAGGGGAAGTGGGAACACATGGAGGAACAGCTGAGGGTAATAAAGCAGGACGAGGCAAGGGAAGCAAAACTAGAAACACTCACATGAGACATGGACCTTCAAAGTAAAACAGGAAACACACTGACTGAATTCTAAACATGCAAACTTAACAGCAACTGGGGAGACAGAATATAGGAACCTGAAATATGGTACAAAACCATCACAGTGGACATAACATGGAACACAGGGAAGCCATATGACGAAGCCAAAGAGCAAAACCTAAGATAACCATAACTGAGATCTAGGGAAACACGAAACAGTACCACAAAGGACTCAAAACATAATCCATAATATAAAAACACGAGATCTCTCCAAAATGAAACAGGAACATGAGAGGCAGACATAACAACATAAGACAACAGACATGAAACACACGAAGGGCAAGGGAGATTTAACATAGTTGGAACACGAGGGGGAAATAATAAGAACTAGAAACACTTAGGCATGATAACAAATAAACTTAGGAAACCTGATAAGCTTAAACATACACTATGAACATCAAAAGAACTGAAACTCAAAACACTGGGTCATAAGACCCAGGACCGTGACAATATGGTGACCTGCTACTACATACGGAAATCCGATGGCTCAGCAGGGGACGGATTTTGCTTCGTTTTTTGTCACTTTTGGGTGAAATCAAGGAGTTCATGCAATCCAAAGGGGAAGACACATCTCTGCTGGAGGACACTGAGTGGACACTTGACCTTGCGTTTTTAACAGACATTACTGGGAAACTGAACCATTTGAACTGTGAGCTGCAAGGCAAAGGTAAGACTGTTGCTGACATGATAAGTGCTTTAAATGGATTTAAAGCCCAGATGAACATTTTCTCTGTGCATTTACAGAGAAAAAAGGTGCTGCACTTTCCCTCTGTGCAGATGGTGCTGAAAGACAATGCTTCTGCATCTGAGACTTTTGACAAAGTTGCAGAAAAGTACAGTCAAGTCATAAACCGACTTGGTCAAGAGTTTGAGAACAGGTTTTGTGACCTTGATCAGCTTGAGCCATGTGTCTCATTTGTTTCCAATCCTTTCATGAATGTGGACACAACATGCATTGCTGAGCAACTAAGTTCAATGTTCAGCTTGGATGCTGGACAGGTGGAAATCGAAATTGTAACATTGCAAAATGACGTCCACCTCAAAGCCTATCTGGAGGCACCAAACTTTTGGTGCCTTGTTGACACAGAAAAGTACAGTGGTGTGTGCACAGCAGCTATGAAGGTTGCCAGCCTGTTTGGTTCAACCTATCTTTGTGAATCAGCCTTTTCTGACATGAACTTCATCAAGAACAAACACAGAACACACCTCTCCGATGCACATCTGCAAGACTCACTCAGAGTTGCAGTGTCAAGTTATACCCCAGATTACAACACACTGGTGAACAGCATGCAATGCCAGGTTTCCCACTAACAGACAAAGAAAGCCATATTAGATGTTCTCAGTGGCAACATTACAGTGTCATGTCAAAGTTTAATTTAATTATTGAAAAACAAATGTGTTTGTTAAGTGTAACATGTGACAATTTGCTTTAAAATGCTGCCAATTTGGTGAAAAGTTCTGTAAAATTTGAAAGTTGATTTTTTGTATGTTACATACATACAAAAATAATGTATGTAACAGTGCATGATTTGTTAAAATTTGTTAGTGGTAAGTGAAAATCACTTCAAAATGTAAATACTTGCAGAGATATATAGAAATAAAGCGTTGCATATTGATATTTATGTTTCCTACCTTGTTTCCTACTTGCATTCTTTATAATTATGGTGAAAAATAATTAACATAATTAGTGTCCGTACATAGATGAATATCATTAATTATTAATGATAACACATAATTAAGTTAAACTGAGGAAATTTGTTATTTGAGAAGTGTGTGTCAAACTGGTAGCCCTTCACATTAATCGGTACCCAAGAAGTAGCTCTCACTTTCAAAAAGGTTGGTGACCCCTGTCCTAGGGTCTTTTAGACTGTCAGTGGTCAAAGTCAGAAAGTAGTCACATTTAGCCTTCCTGATGGAGAAAGTAAACAGATTACACAGCTGACAAAAACATAGCCAATCAGCATCAGATCCAGACTTTCTAGCAGCTGCCCAGGCCTGGTTTCCTTTATATAGGAGACCGGCCAATTCAGAATTGAACCAGGGGCTGTCCCAACCTTTCACACTGACCTAACAAAAATTTGTCTGCAAAGGAGATAAAACTCTCCTGAAAATATTTCCAAGCTAAACTGATATTGTCAATATGACATGAAAAACTGAAAAAACCCTGAAATTTCTCACTGAAAAGCTTTAAATTTCTTTTTGTGATAATGTGATGCTTGAGGAGTGAGATTTTAGTGTTTCTCACAGCACCAACTACGAAGTAATCAATCAGGTCATTGACAAAAACTGCTGATATGGAAAAGTAAAAAGAAAAAAAAACGGTCAATAAGAGAAGATTTATCTGGGGATTTGAGATCAAGGCATGTGGGAATAATTTGCGTTAGATTTAAAAGCAAGCAGTGTGCCTTCATCAGACACAGAAGAAAGCCAGTTCCAATTAAAATCACCTACCAGAATGATTTCTGGTAGGTGACAGACTGAACGGTAAATGTTAAATCCATCAATTGCCATGTCTTAATGCAGTATAGATTTGGATAGCCAGAAACAACAATTATATCAGGACCAGTTAAACAGGCCCAGATTCTAATCATATCTATCCATATTTATATGAAGGATGTGTAACCCAGGCATCATTATTAGACACTTATGTATAGTTTTCTGGTTAACAAACAACTGTAGAGCTAGTATTATAGCTGACACCACACGTAGAATTTAAGTTATCACAGAAAGGATGACATTTTTCTAAAACCAGTAAACAATAAAATCTGAAGAAAAAAAAATCAGATTCAGTCACGCTAATGTTCCAAGGCCTACGAAGAGATCCAATCTCCAGTGCTGATGTCACATAGCCTATAACTACTACCCATGAGTATAAACCAGGGGTCAGCAACCCTGGGCACACGAAGGGTTAACTGATGGCACGACCATAGCTGGACTGGCCATCAGGGATATCAGGCATTTGCTCGGTGGGCCGATGGTGATTTTTCATTTTTATAGGCGGATGGGTTTTTTTTTCTTTTTTTTTGTAACTGTATAAACAATGAAAGGTGGTGGATTGGCCAGATGCTGGCAGATGTGTAAAAATAACTCAGTTGTTTGGTGGTGACTATGGTGGAGCTTCCACAGAGGCCAGCAGGTGGATGAGGAAAAGGTGAGGCAGGAAGAGGAGAGACTCGAGGCGGCCTGGGTTAGGTGAACTGAACTTCAAGCAAGAAGTTATGAACTGCTGTCTATCTGGGTCAGATATAAACCAAGTTTAGGTGGAGTTTATTTTCGTTGTGCTAACTTTTTACAATCAATTACAATAACTTGTACTGCGTACAAGCATGATGGAGTTTCTATACAATAATAATAATGGATTGGATTTATATAGCGCTTTTCAAGGCACCCAAAGCGCTTTACAATGCCACTATTCATTCACTCTCGCATTCACACACTGGTGGAGGCAGCTACGGTTGTAGCCACAGCTGCCCTGGGGCAGACTGACAGAAGCGAGGCTGCCATATCGCGCCATCGGCCCCTCTGGCCAACACCAGTAGGCGATAGGGTAAAGTGTCTTGCCCAAGGACACAACGACCAGGACAGAGAGCCCAGGGATCAAACCGGCGACCTTCCGGTTACAGATACGCTTCCCAACCCCCTGAGCCACGGTCGCCCAGCTAGGTGAGTGCTATGGTGTTACTGATAGCGAACTTTATTTTATTCATAAGATTAGTAGAGTTGCCAACCGTCCTGTAAAAACTGAATCGTCCCGCATTCAGAGAAAATATTACGCGTTTTGTATTGAGCTGAGAAGGAACACAGCATGTCCCATACTTTAGCTAGAATGGAAAAAGACACAAAGCTGGATTTATTCTGCGTCCTTACGCTGTCAGCTGCCTCTTCTTCTCTCATTCAATCATGAAACTGATCAATAATCAGCTGATTGGCTTTTCTCTCTTGTTTGTTTATTGCCCACTTTGCTCCAGAAAGAGGAAACCAGCAGATGTCGCATTAAACAACAGCAACGTGTTTAAGCTTGATCAGCTGTTGTTAGAATTTATTTAATATTAATTTCTAATATCAGCTGATGTTTGCTGGAGCCACAGCTGTAAAAGCTGCTGGTCATGATATCGGTTTGTATATCTGGTGAGACGGAAACATGAAGATGGAACCAGGAGATGTCCTTACTGAATCATCAGAGCTGAACAGGTGATGGAGAAACAGGTTTACCTTTTAGGTGACATGAATTAGTTGAAGGGAAGTTATGAACTGTTTCTGAGGGACAAATAGCACCAGGATCCTTTTTTATGTAGCTGACAGCTGGTAACTGTGCAGGGGCGGGTCTAGCAAAGTTTTGCCAGGGGGCCAGGTAGGGCATTTATAAATGGTAAAATGATAAATGGCCGGTATTTGTATAGCGCTTTAACTCAATCCCTAAGGACCCCCAAAGCGCTTTACACTACATTCTATGCGCTTACCTGCTGCTCTCTGGCAGGTAGCTCCATGCCCTCCTGGGTTTTAATTGCACCTTAGAACACACATGCATCAACACTACAATGAGCGGGTGGAGGGTGGTTTGGAGTCTTCTCTCACCCCCATTCTCTGCGGCCTGCTGGAGCGGGGGGGCCGGGAGGAGGAGTTGGCCGTCCGACTGCGGTCTGGAGTGTGGGGCCTCCCTGCTGCTGCGGAGTTGGGGCGGTCTGCCTCCCCCCACCGCAGAGAAAAAGGGTAACACCACCTGGGTCTGGGTGCAGTTCCCCCCTCCAGGGGCAAGGGTACCTAGACCCGGTTCGTAGAGTACGCTTGGGGAGTGTGATTGTGTGTACAGCGTCTCTTTATGTCTGTCTCCACGTTGGTTGAGTGTGGAGTAAGTGCATATGAGAGCATGAGGGTGGGAATGGATGTTTGTATCTGTGTGTGCCTGTATGTCTGTGTCTATATGTCAGGTTGGGTTTCAGACGCCACCTCTCTGGGGACATCTCAGGCCCTCCAAGGTTTGGAGGCCTATCTCCACCCACCACCACTTCCCCTGCCAGTGGCGGACTCTCTCAGGTGCGTTGGTGGTTCTTTGTGTCTGGGGATGGGCGTCCAGGTACACACCGGCTCACTCCTTGGCGGCCGCTTATCGGGGCCTGGAGCCTGGGGCTCGCTCGGGCCACTTCGGAGGTGGGGTGCCCCCGGCCTCTCGGCCTGGGGCTCGGTCACTCAGGCACAGCTGGCTGCCGGCGGAGCTCACGGGCACGTCACTGCAACCCCCCCTGGCTTCTGCACGGTGGCTGCTGAGTGAGCCCTCGTCTGGGACTCTCCTCAGCTCTTACTGGGACAGTGGCGCGGCTGCCCCTCTGTTGGTCTTCCTTGGTCTCTTGTGTTCTGGGGGCCTCTGGATGTCTGGAGTTTTGATCTCCTCCATACCTGCTTCATACCCTGGAGGATGGGGCTGTGGCTCCCCACACTCCCTAGCAGATCGTTACATGGAGAAACCTTTGGAATACAAGCATGCTGATCCACACAGGTGTACACACGGGTATTCACAGACGCGGACTACAGCTCTCTTGGCTGCTGCCTCAAAGCACATTGTGCGCTGTCTATCTTGCGTGCTTTAATTTAAAATATATCACATGTGAAAGTGTCGAGAAATTCCTTTGTTATGTTATTAAAATACCCTCTGTCCAAGGGTCCTGCTCTACCTGCATTGCTCCGCCCACCCCTGAGGTTCATCCCTTCAGTTATGACCAGTATCCAGCATGGGATACTGCCTGACGGACCATTTCGTGGGCTGCATCGCCCACTCTGCCTATGTGGACCTCAAGCGTCATCCTAAGAAAGAAAGAAAGCACTGGTGAACTCAGCAACGCAAAAAACCTGGATGTCCATGGAAGAGAAACCTGGATGTCCGGGGTTTCTCTTCCATGAGGAAGCGAAACCCCAGACATGCAATCTAATTTCTCAATGGTGCGACAAAAAAAATTCCTAGGTTGCACCGGTGCAACCAGCCATTGAAGTAAAAACATAAACAAAAAGACTTTGCAACTCTGACAATCTCCGTGTGGTCAACAACAGACACACATTACGCCCATTCTATTTGGGTGGTCAAACCCAATTAGAGATAGTGAGGGCGGGACCTGTAGTCCTACTCGTGTGTACGTTTGAAAGTGGAGGCGGATAGAGAGAGGCGAGTAGCTTGAATAAGGTGATATCGATTTATTAAATCCTGAATCAACTATTAAATATAAAGGTATTTTGCCAGAAATGCTATAATCTCAGGTTAAACCTGACAAATCTATTTCAACAACCACCAAACAGCTAAAACAGCAAATGAGAGCAGGTAAACGTCAACATCAGTGAGATGGCAGCTTTCTCACCCGACGGCATGAACACGGACACGCCGTCGGTGCTGAAAGCTGACAGCTCACAGATTCTGATGTGTCGGGTCCATGCTTCGTGTTTACGTCTTTTTTTTGCTCTAGATTCTGAAACTGCAGCTTTTCTCTCTCTCCAACCAAAATTCACTGAACCAGCAGCAAAAGAAGATCAAAACTACGCTTCACATTTGCTAAACATCGTCATAAGTTCCCTCTTACTTTTCCCGTTTTGCTTTCACCACGAT